CTGCCCGCGCTCGGAGCCGCGCCTGAGGGGCGGGCTACGGGCGGGGGGCGCTGCGGGCGAGTCCCGGCTAAAGGCCTGGTGTTCCCCACACGTAGGGGGAGGAAAGGGTTTGCGGGGGTTTTGGCAGCACGCTGCGGTTTTTCTCCCCAGCTGGATGCTCGGTGAGGGGGAGACCATGGGCCTCGCTGGTGGGAGGCAGGTGCAGGATGGGGAGGTAAAACTGAGCCCGGCGCGGGGTCCTGACTTGGTAGATACTTGTTGTGAAGCTTTCAGGGTGCTTGTTTCGATAGCTCTTGCTAGGCCGTCCTCACTCGAGAGCTTGGAGGAAGTATATGAATGTTTATTTTGGTGCTGAAGATTAGTTTAATGTTAAACCCAACACATTTAAGCAAAATGAGCAGCCAGAAAAAACTTACCTCTCTCTGTAATCATGAAATCATCATGGTAAAAACTTCTGTGTTCACTTAAAGGCACGTTTATGAGTTGTTGTAAGTGCAACTTTGAAGAAGCTGCTTTGGTGCTTTTTATACCCTGAGGCACTGATCTCGCAAGCAGCTGTCTTGCCATTGACTTTGGGTGTCCAGCATTAGGCTGACACCGGCATTTGCAGGATTTGACTTCACTGAGTGAATATGGGGGGGAGATATATCAAAGTTTGCATTAATGGATCTGACTGGTACGTATGCTAACTGTGTTTTAAGTAGGGTGTGGTGTTTGTGAAATATGGCCAGGTTTCTGCAGTGATCTTTACGTATTTGATACCTTGTTGACATTTTCTAGGTTGCAGGCAGGAGAAGGCTTTGTGTGTGCTGAAGTATTTTCTGATATCCTGAGAGCAACTTTGTTGCAAATGAGTCATTTGAAAATTAAAATTTGATGTTTGACATCCGGAGGAGATGGACTGTGTCTTATGTATAAGTGGGTTTTGCCTCTTTTGGTTTCAGATTCTCTCAGATGGGTTGCTAAGAGATTAAAATCAAAGTCATATGTGCTTTTTTATTTAACTGAAAAGATTTGGCTAAATCTGCTTTATTAAATGGAAAAAAAAAAATCCCGTGGAGCTTTGTATCTAAACTAGCCAGTCTATGCAGAATTGCAGGAGTGTCATGTAGTATCTAAGAAAAGCAAGATGACTAAAGGACTAAAAATTGCATATTTTTCTTCTGTAAGAACCTGGATGTGCTTGGGCCTGTTCTCAAAGTGTTTTTCACGGTTATTCAAAAACCCGTAGAATGTTGGCTTTCTTCTGGAAGCCTGTCTCATGGGCAGCTAACCACACCTCAATGCCTACCTCCAGCGAACTGGTTCTGTGGGCGGAAGAGTTGGCTATGTAATGGTTAAAGTACCAGGTCAATAGAAGGCATTGCAGTCCCCAGAACGCTCGACAGGCACTGAGCTTCATCACACCAATGAGAACAGCAAATATCCTTCTTAGAAATCCCTTTTGAGGAAGCCTGCTTAAAACCCACTACCTTAAGTGGTATGAAGGTTGTAACACAAAAGAGCAAAACAGAAGAAATGTATGGTTAGGCTAGCGTATACTCTGCTAACATTATGACACAATGCTTAGCACATGCTTACATTTCCTATTTACTTCTACTGGGTTGTGGTCTTCATAATAATAACAAGCATCTCTACCAATTTGCACAAGAGCAGCAGTAAGCAGCCTGTCCGTTCTCTAGTGACAGTCCTGAGCAAATCAGTCTTTTTGCTTGTGCTGATAGTATTAGGGTAAGATTGTTTTTTGCATTGGAGCTCACAATCATGCCAGAATTCAAGCAATTTTACGCTGTAAATACTAAAAACTTGCTGCAACTGCTGCATGGGATTGCCCATCTCTTACTGTTTTTTAACTAGCACCGGCCGTCTTAATCTCTGCTGTTACTTTCTGTCTAGATTGAAGGCATGGTCTTGTTGGGGAGAGACAAACATGCTTGTTGAAAATTCCTGGTTTTATTCTTGAGTTGGCTTGAAGGACGGGCATGCCGTATACGGCATTACGTGACACTGGTGCTGCTAGGCTGAGGCTGTAACCCTTGGTGGTCTCTCATTGGGGAAAGAGAGACCCAAAATCTGTGTTGCGGAAGGCTGCATTGTCCTGTTCCAGCTGCCATCATGGCAACCTTTGCAGTTAGCAGGAGAAATGCTGTCAAAGAACTTTCCATTGCTCTTACATTTTATTTGTTTGAAGAGCTGCGTGAATTACCAACAACACTGTTCTGGGTTCTTGTTTTTTTGCATTTCCTCCTAGAATCTGGTTGTGATTGAAAGGAAGAGACTTTTACCCCCCAAATGAGAAGTTTCTCGACGAGTTCAGATTCCTGTTGTTGTTGTGCAAGTCTCCACATGGCCGTTTTTCCTTGCAGCTTTAAGTGTGTATATTGCTCTTCCTGTGAGAAAGACGCTATGTTCTTACCCTGGACATTTTTTATAGTCTAGATTAAGACTTGACAAATCTTGACAAATGCTAGGAAGGGGTTAGAGTCAGCAATGATTTGAAATTCTTCCTTATCTTTTTTGTCCAGTGGGGTTTCATGAGTCAGATTGGGCTGTTGGGAGTTTCTTCTGAAGATGTACATGTTGGTTGAAAACCGCACAAATTCCTATCTTCATCTGAAGAGGTCCCCTGGCATCCGATCTTGGTCTCTTTTTGTTGGTAAGTCCATAATACTCAGTTTATTTCAGAACTTGCTTTAAGGGAAAGGGGTCACAGAAAAAAGTCCTGAAAAAACCTCTAACAAGAGATGCCTGTCTTTCAGGCATTTCTCTTTCAAGAAGAGGAATCATTATGCTTTGAACTTCTCCTTTAGCATAGCCACTAAGTGAGTCTGAAGTCTCCTCCTCAGTGTGGTAGCTTCACTGTGAGAGTGATAATTTTTCAGTCTGTCATCTGCAGAACCTCAGAGGCTCAAGGACAAAAATTTAAGGGAGTTCTAAAGGATCAAGAAAAGAAAGTTTATTATATGCCATATAGCAATGTAAATGTGAACCTTCTGAAGGGGATGCATACTTACATTGAAAAACACCTAGGTTTTCAGAAATGGAAAAAACTGTGGTGGAGCAAAGCTGGGGTTAGGTCTTGCGTGTGATTGACAGTGAACTCGTAATGGCACTGTGTGTATGAAATAGGAAGTCAAACAGGATGTTCTGAAAGGCATCTGCTTTTAAACACTACTGAACATGCAGAAAAAAATGGAGTGGTACTGCTTGGGACCACACTGAGAGAGCTGGTGGGGAAAATGTGGCATATCCGGCTTTCCAGCTGAGTAGGTCCCATTGCAGTAACACCACAACGTTGTTGCTTTCAGTGATGTCGTCTTGTCAGACTGTCATTGAGACAAGATCTTTGCAGGTGCAGTGATGCTCTGGGGCATGAGCCACTTTTCCACTGCTGCCTCCTTAGTGGGAGAGACGAGCTGGCAGCTTTTGGCACACCTTTATTGCAGAAGTTTTCTTTTGGCTCCACAGAGCACTTAGAGGGGAAAAAAAAAATTGCTGTAGTGTGGGTTAGCGTGCTCAAGGATGTACTGCGCTCGAGAGGAAGTATGGTGTAATGGTTAGATTGAGAAGTTCCTCTGAAATCTGTTCCTGATTCTGTCATGACCTTTTATTTCTGACCTCAGCCCCTGTGCTCTTTAGTGTCTTTGCAGAATGGGAGTGTTTTTTCATACTGAGTTCAGAGGAGAAATAACCGACTCTTTCATATAGTGATCAATATTGCAATCACATTTGTCCCCTTTTTGAAAAGTGAACTTGTGAATATTCATATGTTTTTCATCAGGGAATTTTAGATGGTTTGAGGTGTGTGTCCTAATTCTCTCCCCTCTTATTCTAGGAATAGCCTCCATAGGTTTGGCTGCTGCTTATTATAGTGCAGGTAATGGCCCATGAATTTTCCGAAGAACTGTTTATTTCCTGTTGATCTGTTTTTCATGCTGATGACTCCTCTCTGCAGCTTCTGTCTGGCCTTACAAAGGCAGTATAGGTACCTATCACAGTTTGTGGCGCGAATATTAAAATCCAATAATTGTTGCCTGTGTATGATTTACTGTGCTTTAATGCTCTCTTTCTTACTTGGCATCCCTTTCCATTTGCAAGAGTATTTTTAAAAATGATATTTATCACTCTGTGGCATCTTGTACTTCCGGTGTGTTTTATAAATGTGATCAGCTGGTCCTCACAGCTCTCCTGGGAAGACATATAATGATTGTTTGCCACCATAACGAAACGATTACCTTGCCTTTGATGGAGGTGCTCTCTTTCTCTGGAAACTTAAATCGTCACTGGCAGAGATGACTCATAAAAACACCTTTTGAGAACAGACAGCTACTGCTGCTTCCTGCCCCCCACAACAGAGCAGGCAGCACCAAATGCCAGGTGTCCTTCCGTCTGTGAAATTTATCCTGCAGGCTGTCCTGTGATTCTCTTGCTGCATTGTGTTAACATCAAATTCTACAGCTTAATAGCGTGCAGGAATATACTACCAATATAATCAATGTATTTTTATTTTAAGAGCAAAGTCCGGTGAAAGCTGCTTGAGACACCAGCTGTATCAGCCTTTTTTCTTAAGACATTGCAACAAAGTTTTCCAAAACAATACTTGGCACAGTTCTGCTCTCTGCTTTCAGTAAAAGTCTGAGTAAGCAAATTACTTAGACTGCTATATGTAAACATTTCCAGGACATAAAATGCAAAAGTTTGTCTGTCAAGAGGGCTGACTGCTTCCTTTTATGAAGAAACATGTTTGCTTCAGTGAATTTCAGTTGTCCCTTACCCTTGTCCTCTGCAGCACAAATATTTGGTTGAGAGCAGGTTGAGAGTTTTGTGGATGCCTTTGCTTGTAGGGAAGAGAAAGATGTGTAGTGATGTTACAACCTTGCCAATAATACATATGCTTATAATTCTGCATGGTTTGGAGCCCAGTGTAGATGGAGTCTTTGAAAAATATGTGAAGAGTTTCTGTATTTTTTTCTCCTGAGAGAGCGAGCTGTAAAATAGCTTGCATTACAATTAAGGGCAAAAATGTTGCATGAGCGAAACATTTTTTCCTTCTGTTGCCTTTAAAGGGAGCATGTTGCTTTTACAACTAACTGATTGAATACCAAAGAAGTGGGGAGGGAACCCAAATGTAAATTTGTGCATTTTTTTGCATTGTTCAGACAGCTTGGCATGGAAGCTCTTCTATATGGCCGGGTGTTTCTTTGTGGCAGCACAGAATCTGGAGCAGTGGGAGGTAAGATGCTGAACTCGGGAAATGAGGTTGTGCTAGTTGAGAGACAGTTGGCGGATGCTGATTCCAGCAGCCCTATGCACTTGCTCAGGCCAAACTGACAAGTTATGCTTTTGGTGTTGAGGAAACCCTTTGGAGTTGCTTTACTAAGAGTAGAATCAGGGCAATAATTCTTCCACTACACAAGCATGAAAATGTGAAACTAAACATAAGAGTGTTTTTTAAGGTGGGACTTGCCCCAAACTGTTTTGTGGCCTTTTCTTCCTCTTGCATAAAAGAGGGAGAAAGAATAACATATTCAGCATGATTTTGTACTTGCCATTCCAGCTAATGACAGAACGACTGTTAAATAGGGTAGCTCTAACCTTCCAGGCTACTCGGCTGTTTTCCAGTGGGAAAACAGTGGTGGTTGTAAAGTTGGTTTATAATCTTGTGGATATTGATTTCTTGGGAGTCGGACTGAGAGCAATAACCCACTATGTAGGCTTGTCACCTTACTGACCTGAGTTGTTATTGGAATAAGCAACCCACATATGAGACATCTTCTTTTCACTGCCTGTCAGGGATATTTTAAATCTAATGTAAGCCTGGAATTTTGGTGGAGTTAGTGACTGTGTTAGTGAAAAGTGTAACTAGAACTTATGTTCACTGTATATACTGTAGGCCAAATGCATACCCCAAGAGCTCCGAGTTAGTGTTCAAATTTGATTCCAGGCAAAAAGTTTTTATTACATAAGTGGCGAGAGGGGCAATGAAACCAGCTTTAACTTCATTCTAGAAGTAATGCGGGAGATATGGTAAAGTCTGTGTTAAAGCCAGGAGCAAGATTGTGATTTTCACAGTTTAATAACAGAGAAATGTCTCTAATACAGCTATGTTTTTTCTATGTGACCAAAATTATTTTTCCATATAACTTTTTCTTTTACTTTGAAGCATAGCTACTGATGGTGTGTTTAAGAAAATCTTAATTTTTATTTTTCAATTTTACAGGAAGCTGTATTTGATAAGAACAAGGGAACAGTCTGCCTAAAAACATTCAATCTTTACAAAAAAATACTGACCTTCTCAAAAGGAGGCAATGAACAAGGTGAGAAAGCACCTACCTATCTGTGGTAGCAAATGTGGCGGGCAGACAGAAGAAATGCATACATGCCCATTTAATAAGCTTCTCTTGAGTTCCGTACTCAAATTAGTCAACATCTGTTTCCAGATCTGTTTTGTTCCCAAGCAGCAGATGTAATATTTGGGTCCTGAGAGGCAGATTGCTTTTTCAGGTTAAGGTGCTGAATGCATCTTGTTCGTTATTTTAATCCAAGGTAACTAGACTTACACATTGCTTTCTATAATAATCTTGGCCATTCCTTTAGGATGTTGATGTGCAGGTTTACATTTCCCTTGGCTAGCCCGCTTTGCAGGTGGGACTGGTGGAAAAACTTAAAATTTGGATACAGGAACTGAGATTTCTATAATCTAATCTGGTTTTGTTAGCAGGCAAATCTTTAGATAACATATGCAAGCAGGCGTGTTGCATCTTGCAGATATATCACACGCATTTAAAACAGCATATTCAGTAGGTGCAGCTTAATGCGGTATCTAATTTCTTTTGAGCTTTCTGTCAGAGTAACAGAAGTTGAAGTATAGTATGTGACTGGGTTGAGTCACTGAGACAGGAGCTCCATTTCAAACTAAAGCAGGATCCTCTTCAATGTCAGCTTTTTTTTACTCTACTTACTAGTCTAAATCAAACAACTCTCAATACGCTTAGAAAACTGACAAAATTTGGAACGTCCTTAAGTTGAATTGGTGTTTAAACAATTCATTTTGGAGATGGAAGATACAAGATGTGGAGAGAAGGATGTTTAATGTTTCTGGACTTTTCTTTAGGGTATGTTTATATGTTGGGGAGCTGAGCACATTGCTTCCCGAGAGGTTAGTTGGTAGTATCTGTTTCAAGTACCATTAATGTGGGCATGCAGAGATCAGCAGGTGCTCTGAATGGTTAAATCTTTCAGTATTTGTTCAATCTCAGTAAACTTAACACCTGTTTACCTACTCTGTACAGAAAAATAGTTAAAACTATCATTGAAGTAAGTGGGGAAACATAAGTAACAAGTTAATGGTCCCCAGTTCCTGGGAGGCAGTATGTCTTGTTCATTAGGGCCTATCCCAGCTAGTATGTGCTGTGGTCTACCCTTGTTGTCCCCGAATAGCTCAGCAGTTGTTTGCTATTGCAGGACTGCCCCGGTTGTATGGGATCAGAGCAGTAGTACTCGAGCATGGAGTCCCCGTCACACAAGTCACTAGTAGAGCGCTGAGAGTTTACTGTAATGCTAATAGACTACTTTGTTTTCCACATCTGTTTACAGTAGTGGCTCTGCTGAATGAGATCCGAGATGTGAATGTGGAAGAGGAGATTGTGCGATATTTTGGGAAGGGTTACCTGGTTGTGCTACGATTTGTCACTGGATTTTCACACCCACTGACTCAGAGTGCCGTGTTGGGCTGTAGAAGGTGCAGTGTGGACTTTTTTTTTTAATTAGAATGTGTAAGTGGGAAATACTAATCACATAGGTCAGTAATTGCCAACTATTGAGACTCAGCTTAGCTTCATTTTCATACTTGCTGATGTGACCTTGTGTTACTCAGTTTAACTTTTTTAAACCCTTTAATGCTTTCAGTTGCAGATATTTGGGTAACACCATCTCCCATCAGGAGACTGATCATATTTAGATACCAAAGATCCCTTTAGTGCTGCATGTCTGCTGTAGTTCCCTTCACTAGCTCAGCTGTGCAATGGCAGAGGGGATTAATTCTATTCTGCCTACCTTCAGTGTATCTATCAGTTAACAGAGGATTTATTTTTAGCATCTATCAGTTAACAGAGGATTTATTTTTAGCATCGATACTAAGGAATCTTGCAGCGGGGACTGTGGGAAAAGGGTTGATTTGTTCTGCTGTGGAAGTAATGGCTTGGCTTGATACGTCTTCACAAGTGGGATGCTGTCAGTAATACTCTACGCTGTATGTTGACTGGCTCTTCAAGCAGTTATTCTCAGGAATTAGTGTGCCTGTTCTTGTCAACACCACAGTTCTTCTAACTCTTATGTTGTTTTTTCTTTTCCACAGTGATGTGGAAGCGGTTGCCAAACTCGTTACTAGTTTTCTGGAACTGGACAGAGTAGAGAGCCAACAAGATCTCTCTCAGAGCAGCGAAACAGAGGCTAGTGATGCAGATGAACCACAGGATAAATATTAATAGTCATCATAAGCTGAAGAAAGCTGAGGCTTTCAAACATCTGGAAAATATACTGATTTTTCTTCAGAAAAAAATCCCTCACAATCTTGACCTGGGCGTTTCTCTACATGTGCATTTACAATGGGAGGAATCTGTCTTAGGGCACCTTTTGTAGTGCTAAACTGCTTCAAGATCCACGTTCCCAGTGTGGCTGTTGCAGAGTCCAAAGCAAATTCTTTTATTTGTTCCTTGGCCTTAGTTCCTGCATGTGGACACTGCTGGCTTTTGAACTTTGTCAGCTCATCAAACTTGTCTAAGAATAGTTATTTATTAATTAATTGGTTTGAAATCATTTATTGCTTTCCCACTAATGAAGTGGGGATACAGATGTAAACTTCCACTTAACTGCAAACATCTGCTGCAAGTACAGTATATGCAATGTAGAAGAGCTGCATTCGTCACTCATAACACAAAGCTTTGAGGTTTTTCTTGAAATGTTCTAAACGACTGAGTATATTGCTAAATTGGTTTTAAGCCACTTAATATATGCAATTAGGTGATGCGGAATAGTAGCACTCACTCTCTACTACTGGCGTGCCATTAGATACCAGTGGAAATTAAAATTTGAGTGACTGTCTTGGAATTGGAAACATCAGGTTGGTCAGCTTGTTTTGTTGTCTTCTCTTGGACTTGCCAAGGAGCCATAAATAGTAAATAAGAAATGATCATGTTGATGATTCAGTATCTCTTGGGATGTTCTGGCTTAATCCTGTTCTGCTTAACTTCTGGGCATAGACTACCCCAAGATAGAATAACCTTTTTCTGGACCTCAACATTTACTATTTTAACTGAGTATTTAGAAATGAAGAAAAGCACATCTGTTACTTTAGGTAGGGAAAAGACTGATGTCAAACAACATGGTAGCCTAGACTTTAGTATTTCCTCACTTGAAGTGATACCAAAGTGCTAAATAACCTAATTTTTTAAGATAGCTGTGATGGATCCAATGTTTGACCTGCACCCATGTTTTACTCCAGGTGTGTAGTGTTCTGACTAATGGTTTCGTAAGTTGTTAAAATATGAATTTTCCAAGATATTTTTTGAAGTAAAAGCTACCTCTGTTAGTCAACATGTTCTGTCTAGAACTAAAACTTCATCCTGCCGGTATCAACATGTCAGTACAAGAAAATAGTTGTGAAGAGCTGAAAGTTCCTTCAATGTGCTAAAACTGCTTGTATTAAAGTTCACTTAGGCTTTGTTTAAGAATTGTATGGTCTTAAGACCGGAATTAGGAAATATTTACACAGTTACTTCTAGGAGGTCTGAACGGGGTACAAGGTAACAGTGTGGTCTGCTTTCACATTTGGCCAGCAGCAAATGTCTTCTGGCAGCAGTTTCTTCAGGACTTAGGCACCTGCATTCTTGTTTCAAAGCACTCTACCTCTGCAGAAGAGAAAGCTATGAAAAGATTTCAGCAGAAGCAATGTCCTGAAACTAAGCACATGGTTATCTGACCAAAGAACGGGCTGTACCACGATGTCAATTCCAGCTGTTCAGACTGAGTATGTAAGCTGTGAGACAAAGCTGCTCTTGCTATCAGTTTGAAAGGGCAATCGCACTGTAACAGGGAGATAGTTGTTGATGCAGCTTGACTGCGGCACCCAAGTGGGTCTATTTCTATTAAATAAGAAAAGAAACTTGTGATCACATCAGGTATCAAAGCAGACCTCTGACAATAGACATGCTTGTGAAGTCCTCAGAGTTGGTGGGCTTTCAATCTCTACCCCACATCACTGGAATTGGGAAGCTGCTGTGTACCAGTGGGGGAAAATTAGGTTGCAGGCAATTGGCTAAATTTGGCCTTTATTCTGAAGCACAGCTGTAAGCTAAGAATAATCATCAAACCTGTTTAAAAAAAAAAAATTACAGGGTGTAACACTTGGGACAGTTCTTAATTTAAAACCGCTGTAATATATACCCTAGGTGACGCTCATTTTAGAGAGGAGAATGAGACTGGGAATTTGAAGAACTTTTTTTTCCCCCCTCGCTGTAAAATGAGAATGTCAAGTGTTCTAAGGACTTCCAGTAAGAAATACTGGGGGCGGGGGGGAAAGAGAGTATTTAACAGTATAATGTAAGCAAAAGGGCTCAACCTGCAGATAACTGTTGCTTTGCAGCAAGGATATTCAGAGGGAGTGCATGATATGGATGTGTGTTGCACTTGTATTCTGAGCCCACAGATTTGACTGTGGATGAAACGGACAAAACTACCCGCATTTAATCTCGGCTATAGTGGTTTTCTGTTGTCTTTCCATGAGAGCTAATATTCCATGGAAGATACAAACGATGCTGTGGTTTTCCAGCTAAAAATCAGCTTTAGAAAGGTACGTCTAACCCTACAGTGCATTGTGTGCCCTGCTTCTGCTGAGCTCTTTTTGTGCATCTAGCTTGCTGTAGATTCTTGATATTAGTAATGTATGCACTGATGTTCTATGCAATAGCATTATACAAAGATGAAAACACTGTAAGGAAAATTTGGAATCCCTAGAAAGGGGAGTGACCTATAGTACAGTATAATATAGCTTGAAATACAGTCTGTGGAGTAAGTTGCATTTTGAGTTGATGTCCAATGATCATCTCTCTAAAGATGTTCTGTAGCATCCCCCTCACACCTCAGTATCCTACTGATGGTAGGCTGGAGAGGGATGACTGCTGGCATGTGCTTTGTGTGCAGGAGGAATATTTTGACTCCTCAGCCTTTCAGTTGGAACAGCTGGTGTAATCCTCTATTGTCCCGCGTCCGTTTTGCATTTGGCAGCTCTGCAAATCCGTACAGTTTCACATGAGAACGCGAGTTCCGTAGCTTGCGCTAACATGAAGGGGGACCGAGTAAATACTTCAGTCGCTGTGGGTTCTGGCTGCAGGCCATGTCAGGCACTGCTGGCTTGACATGGGCTACCGGGAGCTTACGGTGGTAGCGACCTACAGCACAGGTAAAGGGTGTCGCAGCTGGGCACTTGGATGCTGTACATGGATGTGTGTCACAGGCTGATGTGTATTTCTTTTGATCCAGGTTTTGAGCTTCCTGTCTTCAAAAACTGTTTGTCTTTTGTACTTGGAAGACGTACCCAGGTCTTCACGTTTTGCAGTAACCGCGCATGGAAAAGTAACTTGCGCAGCGCTGTTCACGTGGCTTTGGTTGCGGCAGTGTCTGGGGGCTCCTCAGTGATGTGATGCTGCTTGGAGGAACTGTTTACAACAGCAGGTGCCAACTCGGGACAGGTTCTGGTCTTCCCTCTTTCCACTAGTCCTCTCTCTGATTCTCTTTTCTTGCCACTTCTCATCATTTTGCTGAAGGCTTTTTTTGGATAGTTTTCCTCACTCCTCTTGAGCCTAGCATGTCAAAAGGCCCAGTAAATGTAGCCTTATGTGTGCCTGATGTAAAGTGGCTTGTACTAAAGGGAATGATGTGAAAGACTAGTTTTGGTTAGGAAATTAGATTCTCTTGGAGTATTACAGATGTTTTTGTTAAGGTTTTTGCATCTTGGGCTGTCTAGTAACTTGAGACTAGACAGCTGTAGCTTGACTTACAAATGATTTGAAATCCTGCATTAAAGATCTTAAGTTGGATCTAACCCCCTGCTCCATAAAGCCACCACTTTCTATTACGTCCTTTTATACGTCTGTATCGTAAGTGCCACTTGGCAGATGCTTCAAGCTTAAACTTGGGGAACACGTTTGAAGTTAGTCGCGTGTGTGCGGCTGGATGGGATCACTGCCTTAGCTTGTGGTATGCATGCTGTACAAAGGGACAATGTTGCATAATCTAAGCTATAGTCCAATATTCTGATATTTCACAAAATGAGGTATTCCAGTAACTAGGATCAATTGTACAAGTCTTGAGAAAATCCAAATATTTATACTGTATAGCTGAGATCTGACTCTTGTGCTGTATTTATGAAGTTACACAGATACCAAAACCGAAGCTGGCTTATGTAGTAAAGAGCGCTAGTTCTAACACTGCAGTCGATGGCTGAGAGGCAAAAATACTTCTGGAAAATGGTTAGAAATTGCTTTTCTACTTTAAAATTGCAAGTAGAATTTCAGTAAAGCCTTGTATATTGTCTTTTTAAAAAAAAGTCCATTGATAAATCAACTTGGAGAACTTGTTTTGTGTCACTGTAGTCTTTCTTTAATTGGTTTAAATTAAAACGTATTTTAATATTGATAGCAGTCTAAATTACCATTTGTCATGATCCTACTGAAGGAGTCAATGGGGGGGAGAAGAGAGTAGAGGAAGCCCAAATACCTAGTTCATTATGCACCCTGCTTTCACTCTTCTACAGCAGTCCAACCTTCAGTTTCATATAAGCTGATAAAACCAACACCCTTTAAACCAAACCAGCAAGCCACATGCAAAAAAAAGAAGGCATTTTCCCACAAAAATTTTGAGTATCAAAGGATTTATTACAGTAAAATAAATTAAGATTCTGTTTAGTTCAAGGTATGTGACTCTTGTAATTAAGTTATACATAGCAACTGATTCTTTTTAGATAAAAATCTGCATGTGGACCTAACTCCTATAGCTCTCATTAAATAAATTAAAGATGTGTCTTAGCTATACTTCTTGTACTTTATGTGTCTAGACCTATATTCATTTTATAATAGACTGTTCACAGAAAACTTCAATACCTGTGCTTCCAGAAGACTTTCAAGAAAGCAGTAAATGAAGCAACAAGTAAAGAATATTTTGAGTATTCATGGTAGTGTACTTAACTAGCAGATTTTTTGAATTCTTTTCCCTTGTGATTATCTTAATGCCTCAGTAAAGCCCACAAAATATGTTGCTATACATTATTAAAAGTTCAACTTTAAAGCAGAATAAACCAGTGTTTTTCCTTTATATTCAGTAGACGTTAGTCACGCTTCAAATTTGGGTGAACCTGCAGTCTCAAGTTTTACATGGTGAAGTAGATGCCTTAGAGTGCCTGGAATGGTGCTCTTCTGTGGGGATGAAACTAGGCTTAGCTTAGATGATGCTTTGCTAAAACATCAAGAAGCCAATGTGTTAAGGCAGTTTTCCCTCAAAGTCCAAGTGTCACCTTCATTACTTGGCAACAAGCCCCTTTTCTACAGCTCCCTCTTGCTCCCTACTGTCAGGGTGCACATTCTTTCCCGCATCTGCTGTAACCTAGGGAGCATCTACACAGCGGTTCCTTGCTCAGACTTTTGCAAAAAGTTGCTGTTAGTTTCCTGATCTCAAGCTAATCAAAGCTGGATTTAGGAGCCATGGTTTTATGTATTTCAAACACTGAAAAAGTCCAAATCAGAACTGACCAAAGCGACTGCTATATGCTGTGGAAGGACTTTTCCTGGTGGAACAGTAGGATGCATCTCTGAACATCCCTGTCACAGTACAGACCAGGAGGACCTTGAGCATGTTTAAAGTATCCACAACCTGTATTTTTATGGATGTTGCAAAGGGAAGACGTGCTGGCTACTGCCTAGAGTAGAACTTGTGGAACTTTTCCAGGTCATTCTAATGTCAGAAAGTCTATTACTACAACTATTGAATTTGGAAGAAACTGGGTTTTTCTCCTGCTTTGTAATATATTTGACTTATGACTCGCTCCTGCATTCTGTTATGCAAGGGGAGCAAATCTGACTTACAGGGCAGGTGATTTAAGGCTCAATGATGTGTTAAGACAGGAACATTAAAATAAGAGTTGAAGCCTATTACACTAATAAATTCCTTTATGCCTTCAGGTCACTTTTGTTTAATCACAGTTCTTGTTTCAACTCTTAAGATGGCTAATGCTAGCTCTGTGACTAGTTGCAGATTTCCGCTAGCCGTGTTTTCACGTGGAATCAGACACATTAATTGAAATGCTCCTAATTTTGTGCTTTTATTGCTTTATCTAAATCATCCACTATTTGCTGCAGCTTCTGTAGGCTGGGATGGACATTCTCCTCCATCCACTCCTCTACGGTACACTTGTGGAAAACGTGCTCCATGGCTGCCTCGAGGTCTTGCACCACGGCATTCCACTTGGAGAGAAGACTAAGCAGAAGTCAGAAGGAAAACACAATCACAGTTGCAGCTGAGCTCTGCCTCAAGGGAGGGCTATTTTACAGGGCCTTTTAAAGGGAGTACAGTCCTTAAAATGACTTTACAGGAAAATGACTTAAAATGACTTAAAAGGAAAAGAAGCATCTATTACAGGAGCTCAAAGGACTTGAGTTTTGTGCAGATGGCAAAAGGTTGATACTGTTTGTGTTTAAGTAGCATTAATCTTGGCACTTCTCTTCTGCAATGACTTTTAAAGTACTGAAAGGTGAGCTCAAAAAAACCACTACACCCCTTTTAAGTGTAACTGAAACCCACTGTGAGACTTACTGGGAATTTAATTCTGGTTTTTATCAGGAAGAGTAGATGCAGTTAGATATTCACCTTATCACAGCAAAAAATGTTATAAATTAGCCATTTAGGATAAATAAGTGGCATCTTTAGGACAAGGTCTGAAAAGCACAAACAGTGAACACAGTGCAAGGGAAAGGGGGCTGGTTTTATTCCCAGCCCTGCTTGGAACATGGCCTGTGGCCCCTGAACTGAGGCTAACGACGGCTGCTAAGATGCAGCACGGCTGTATGGGAGTAACTACATACACAGGGAAGGGTCTTCCAGAGACCAATTTTGTACTTGTATTCAAAGAACTTGTTCAACAGAAAGCACACAGAGAGAAACGTGTTCCATTTAAAGTTGTATCATGAATACTTCATATTGTTTGATTTCTACTGATGCTTCTGAAATAATTATAGAAAGAGGCAAGGACTCAAACTATATGTATTTGAGTGCCCAAAATACGACAGACTATTTCCCCTATAATGCAAAATAAGTGGCGTTACCTTACTGCATCTGGCTGAAAGTGATGCATTATTATAGGATGAATAATCTTCCTTTTTCTGTGGTAGGGGCTGAACCAGCCTGTGACATATCTGAAAATGAGTGTTAGTATAAGCAGTTTTTGAAATGGCAGTGACATACATGTTTGTAGGCCGACAGGAAGGTGACAGGGCTTTAGCTGAACTTCTCCCACACAAATAGAGATGATGCTTAAGGTGTATGTAAATTTAACTCTACCTATCTTTGAAACTGGCTTGAAAAAGACTGTTCCTGGCAGATGGAAATAACTGAGCGTCTGTTGCAATTTAAGTTTCATTTCAAGCTCATTTTTTCAAGCTAACCATACCATTAGAAAAAATAATCATTTTTACTTTAAATAACAACAAGATTTAATTCAGGAAAGAACTTGATTCTTGAAATAAGGCAGCACAGTGTTTAGGAATTCTGCGGAAATACTTTAAATTTGCATCTAAGTATTACATTCTGCTGAGGTGTCACTATAGAGGGATGTGATGCCTCAAATGTCAAGCTTGATGTTTAAATCACTTTGCTGGAGTTCTGCCCCATTTTGAGATGATACAGCCCCCCTACTCCTGCAGACAGCCAGAGAATCAGCATAAACCTTGTTACCTGTTCCTTTCAAGAAGTTCATCCACTGATGACTTGAGGTAGAAACTAACTTGCGTCACAAGCGTAAGGATATTGCTCCCAGGAAAGGTCCCCAGACTTGTGCTGTCCAAAGAGGATCCATTAGTTTCTGAACTTACCATGCAATGAGAAGCATCTGAATCCCACAGCTAGAATTTTACCTCATGAAAGTTTCCGTTTCCAGGTTGGACATTCCCAGGAGCTTTTCTACATTTTCTTTAATCTTTTCAGAATAGCCACCTGGCAGAAGACAGTGGAAATAAGTAAAAGGAGCCTAAATAACCAAAATGTTCTTAAGGAGGGTTTTTCTGGAGGACCCTGCATTGGCTTAGTAGTTCTCCTTGGATGAAGATTTTTTCTTTAAAAGGTAAAATGGAAATAGAACTAGGAAAAAAAACTTGGGGGTGGGAGGAGTACATTGTCTTTCACACAATTGTCTTGTGCTAGATAAAGCACTTCCTAGCTATCAGCTTGCCATTTGGGGCGCTGAACCTTTTTAGTCCCTTAGTTAAAAACAAGTAGGTTGTGGGTTTTTATTTTGAAAATAAGAAATGCAGAAAGAAAAATAAAAATTCTATTGGCAGCTGCCTATGAAGAAACCAGAAACTGCAGGTAGTATTTTACCAGACTGTACTACCTAGGTCAATTTTAAGAAAATTGATTAGTTAGAACAACTTTTACATGTAAACAAGATCTAAATCTAAATTAAATTAGTCTCATTGATATACCAGTAGTGTTTCAAATCAGTTTCAAAAGCAATTCAGCTTCTTGAATTTTTTCCAGTATAAGCATGAAGAAGTTTGTGACCATTTACAGGTTAAAACATAATAAACCATTAGTATACTGTGGCTACTTTTAAATACTTAGGCCAAGAGGCTTCTCTACTCCTGTACAGCAAACATGCAAGATGTATAATTTATTGTTCATAATTCAGACCACGATCAGATAGTCAAACCACCTCGAAATGTAATAAGCCTGTGCCAACCTTAGGGCAAGGTCACTTCACTCTTGTGTTAGGCATTAGCTGACAGAGAATAAAGTTGTCATTGTACCATTCTTTAATGCCTGCAGACATACAGCCAATGATGGAATTGCCACAGGGAGAAGCTCACACAAAACAGAGAAGTGATCATACCTAAATAAGAAAATATTCATTCATTAGAGATTTTAGTGTCAGAACATACTAAAACAGTGGGAAGCGTTAATGTTTCAATCACTAAAAATCAAAGAACTTTAGAAACACCAGTTTCTGTCTCAGAGAAGGGACACTCTATCTCTGAAACACTAAGTATTTCTGTTTTACTAAAGAGAACAAATAACCAAACATATGACTTGCTCAAGCAGTTAGGGTCAGAAATTTGAATTTGGCTCTCTGGTATTCCCTTAGATCTCCCGACGGTTGCATAAAAACCTTTTACTCCTTCATTATTAAATTAACAAACTCTTCTCGCTTACGCAACTTCACTCTATGTGAACTCACATGAGACATTCAGATGTAGACCGTGCATCGTCTTAACTATGCTGTCTATAAGCAGTCTGAGGTGGCACAAAGTATATTCAAGCCTTCAAATCCAACCTATTGTTGGTGTATGCCAAAACAATTGCTCCTGCTGATTAATGCTGTAGCAGTTGACTGGAACTCACATCCACCCTTTACAGTCAGTTGGGTGAGGCCTGGCAGTAACCAACAGGAATTCCCTTCCAAATCCCAAGCCCCCTTGTACCTCTCAGGGGTTTTTTTGGGGTGGAACTTTGCTTCCATGTGATCCTCGAAACCATTTAAAATGGTGTTCCTCACCTTTGCCAGCCGGTCAGCGCGATACCTTCGAGGACGTCAGCGGGGCTATTGCTTGCCACTTTCAGCCATTGAAGATGGTTTTTCAAGTGGTGTCCAATAAGCGTTAGAGACTGATTCACTCCTGTAGCTCCTTTAAAAGCACTAGCAAACCACACCTTGGAGAAGCCACACCTACGATACTTCTCTATGAGATGCACTGAAATAAGACACAAAAGAACACTTCCAGGACAAGTTTTGCTCCATTTTCAGCCTTGATTGTAATGCTCCAGTTAACAGGAAGCCAGGTCCAGTTACAACAGGCTGCTAAGCCTTGTCCCATCAAGTTTTCAGCATCAGCAAGGATGGGAGATTTGACAAGCTCTCTGAGCAACCTGTTTTGGTCATCGCCCTCCTGTTTTCATGTGCCCAGTTACTCTATTCCATTCCTTGAATTGCTGAATTGCTTCAATGCTGAGAACTGAGGGCATGTAACGAGCATGCGTAACATCTTACAACCGATTCTTCTGTCAACAAATAGCTGTATGCATGTTAGATGCCTGATTGATTCTCCTACGGGAGCCTCTAGGAGTTTTTCCTTTGAATTCTATAGACGTATGAAGCCTTGAAGCTCCTTTCACAGAGCTGTTCAGTACGGAGCTATCTGCTCCCACTGGTTTTAATGCAAGGAGAGTTAATGTAGCAGTGCTTGTGAAAAACCTCTCAATCTCCTACCAGTGACTCCATAGCCCTGTTGAAAAGAATTAAACAGCAGACAATGCAAGTCCTTCATAGGAGAAGCATAACTAGAAAAAGAAAATAAATAATAGCAACTATTATGCGAAATCAAACAAGGGCTATATTTATGCCACTAAAGCAATAAAAAGCAATTTAACAAAAACTGAATTTTTTGGTGTCCAACTAAGGTATGTTTAATCATACTGTTTTGTTTTGGCTATTTTGCTTAACAAGTAGCAGAGCTCTTTGCTTCTAAGCAGCTCAGCAGAGAAGTACAAACCTTTGCCCTCCACATCGAGGTCTGCTGCGTAGTCCCAGATCATTGGCTGCACAAGCTGTGGAAGCCCAGACTCTGGAAGGAAAAGAGTTAGAACTTCTGAGTAATGGAAAACAGACAGTTAAAAGTGAGAACTAAGTATATGTTATTGGTGCGGTAGCACGTGACTAGAACTAACTATGGCTTGTCACTAGAATTCTTCATTTACAGTTGAAGCGCCCCTGAGCTTTTTCAGCCTGGCCAGGGCTTTGAACACACAGGGTCAGGGTCACCAAGTCCTTAGACATCTTGAAACCACTAATATGGATCAGTAGTGGCAATTCATGGGAGATCCCATCCATCCCAAGCCCATCTCATTCTTAGTCCCTTGAATCTATCAGTATAACCTGCTGGGTTGAACTGGTGGAGCTGCAAACTGTACACACAAGATTTCAGCTAAATTCAAAGGAAATATTCACTGTTTAAGTTAGAGATTGTCTGAGCTATGTTTGCACAGAACTTGGCTTTTCAAGATGCCTTTAAAGTACAAATAAAGATACAGGTTTATAGGTTCAAATCCCTTTATAATCAACTCCCAGACTAGTTTTAAACATAAGAAACCGACCCCTAGAGAAACTGCAGTAAATTGTACAGAACTTCAGTATTTTAACAGCATGCCATTTTCATTTGTTGCTGCCTGCGGCAGTACAGCATACCTAGCTAGATGCTGTGCTGCTCTTGTGGAAACAGCATAGGTCCCATCTGCATTTTGTTTGATCATTTCCCACTATTAAAGCCACGAATAGGTCAGTCACTGTCTTACGAGCTGCACAGCTCTTCATGGTATTGTCCAAGTCTGTTTAGAGCAGACATGTCAGGTGGCTCTGAAAATGCTGGAACTCCATCTATACCAGGACTACTCAGATTTTAGCAATGGTTTCATATTTTTCAACAAACAAGACTCGTGACGTCAAAGAGCTATCGCACGATTCAGTACCAGAGTTCCTCATGATGTGCACTATGCTCATATGTCCCGTCAAAGGGTTGCAGCTTCTCTGTTTGAGTCTGCACCACTGGAACCAGAGGCTGCACAGGGTAACAACCAACATCAGAAGGTGGTGAGAGGCCTAGAAATTTAGACTGAGACCACCATTTAGACTGAGACTTAGACTGAGGTTTGGGGTTTTTTTTTTTGATGTGTAAAGAAAGTAGAATTGATGGCAACCACTGCATGATGACTGCTTTGTCACTGTGTATTACCAGATGGAAAACAAAAGTGTTATGTGTTGAGACTTGCCCACAGTCATACAGAAAGTCTGTGACATAGCCAAGGACTAAATGTCTCTATTCTCTAGTCTAATGGATCAACTATATCTCAACTATTCTCAGATTTCTCGTTTTCATTACTTTCATCTACCAACAAATCTGTTTTAACTGGTTGTGTAAATTTTTTTGTATACCACAAAATATGACTCACTCCATCATTGCTCACATACCTGCCAACGTTTCCTCACTTATCCCTCTGAGCATATCATCCCACACGACGGGCGTCACAGCGGGGTAAGACGAGGCCACACAACTTGCAACTGCTTTTATGTGGGATAAGCATAGCTTCTCTGGAGTGTTGTCTTGTTGCTGCAGCCACTGCTTTGACTCCTCTCCTTCACCAAGGTAGTAGACCTGAAACATCAAACAAATAATCCTGACTTCTTTTACAGGAATAGGGGGAGCAAGCTTGACACAGGGTCATGAAATCATACACTATTCAAAACCTATTGCAAAGGTACGACACACCGAGTGGACACGTTTAAAAGCACCTGTCAGTGCTGAAGACACTCCAAGCATTTCCATCAGTCTGCAGGAGACTGTTGCCCTGACTAAATGCATCACGTAAGGGAATTTTCCTATAGGAACTAAAATATCTAAAGAATAATTAAAGCATGCTGTATTTGTCTTTGGAAGGTTTGCCCTTGGAAGTAGCTCTCATCAGTTTTATTTGGTTCAAATCCAAGCAACCCCCAAGGTCCTGAATTATATAAAATGAGGTTCCTGTCTTGGGGAAGGAGATCATTTGTACATGAATCTAGAAGTGACTTGGGGCCATGTTCAAGAGTGGCCCCAGCACACTTGGTCCTATGCAGAGAGTGGGTTTGGATCTGTTAAGCTGAATATGCATTTGAACTCTGCAGGTTTTATCTAAAACATGTTTATTCTACATAAATAGTACTTTGCTTTATAAAAATTTGCAGGTCTCTATCTAACCTTGCCATTTGTTCCCAAACGTGGGATGCAAAATGCTAAACTAATACCAATACAGTTAAGGTGACCATAATACATTTCAGGGATCTGCGTGCCATAGGGATGGTTTTAAGAAACGCTGAGAAAGCAGAAAACTCAAGGTTCTCATCCTCAAGGAGACAAACTACCACGAGAAAAAAACCAGCCCAACACTTCGCACCACAAAAGGCCTTACTTTGAATAAGTTGGTCAGAACAACAAGCCAACATCTTACATCAAAACTCACATGATTCTTGAGGAATACCTTCCAAGTGATATCTCATTTAAATACTCATTTGACCCAAAACCAAATGCTGAGTTGGCTTCAAGAAACTGCTTTCAAAACTTTTTGATATTACACTCAGATCAATAGAAATGACATCCCATGCTACTGGAATAATTTATTGTCAAAACAACTTTTCTACACCGGCTTGACTTGGTGTTTTCTGTCACCAAAATCCTACCCAAACATGGCCTGGGCACCACTGAAATGCAGAAGCCTCAGCCTTTACCTTCATTCTCACAAAAAAAAAAAAATCCTGGCTCAAGAGAAGTCCCACCTCATCACATCCGATGTGAAACCATTTTAAGTCTTCATGCAATGCCATGACCTGGTCAATCATGGCTTTGACCAGTGCCCGTGACTCCTCCTTGTGTGGGTTGAGGGCGTTGGGAAACACCTTCACCTCCCGGAGATGAGCAAACTCTTTGTGCTTCAGCACAAACTGCAAGAGAAAGGACAGCTTGGGGTACAACAGCAAAATGAAGAGGACAGCAGTGTTCTCTTGTGTCACCAGGACTCTGCTAACAGTTGTCCCGCTAAAACCTGGGTTTTGGCTGTGTGTCAACCCAGGGGACTGCCCCATGCCTCTCACCAGGGGCTGTACAGGCACGGCTGCTGCTCCACGGTGCTGCGGGGGTCTTCGACCACGAAGGGCCTCGTGTGGCGAGGGAAACGGGGTGCTCTGTGCAGCATCACCCTGGTGTCCCGAGCGTGCAGCTGACAGGAGCTGGATAACTGCAGCGCTGGGAGTTACGGAGCCTTCCCAAACAAACCCACCCCCACGCCATCGCCCTGTTTGCGCATCCCAGCCGCTCACAGGCGTCGAAGGCACGACGCGGCCCGCCCGGTGCTCACCTCCATGTGCCCGAAGGTCTGCACCAGCGGCACCACCTCCAGCCCCCGCGCC